TGGCTGGTGGGACAAGGCCCTTCATTAAGGAGGCTAGTGCAGTGAGATGGCCGGTGGGACAAGGCCCTTCATCAGAGCCCGATGACTTGAGTCTGATCCCCAGGACATGATAGGAGAAAACTGACCCTACAGGCTGTTTTCTGACCTCTATATACATGAGATCCCTGAAAACCCCACTGCCTGACCACCACCACTTCCACACATAAATAAATGTAATTTTTGAAGTTTTGAGGCCTGGGAAGATAGTACAGCTGGTAAAAAATTACTGTGCCAACTATGAGGAACTAATTTTGATGCCCAGGATCCACATAAAAAAGCTAGGCCCAGTGGTATTCATTTGAAGTCCCGGGGCAAGGAGGCAGGGCCAATCAGATCCCTGGAGCTAACTAGCTGGGTAGTTAGCCAGCCTAGCACAGCCTGTGAGTCCCAGGCCAATGAGAGATTATTTTAAAACACAAGGTGACTGGCTGTTAAAGACCACCGCCAGTCCTCTGGATCTACCTGCATGCATGCTTACAAAACACTAACCTGAAACAAAATGCTAAGACTTAGAGGCTGGAGAGACAGCTCAACAGTTAAAAACACTTGCTGTTCTTGGAGGTTTGGTTCCCAGCACTCAAACCAGGAAGCTCATAACTGTCTGTGTTTCCAGTTTCAGGAAATCTGATGTCTTCTTCTGGTCTTTTCAGGAACCTGTACTCATGTGGTACACATACATGGTTCTGGTACATACACATACATAATAAATCATAACACACACACAAGACCTAACTGGGGCCAGAAGGTCTCCTGACTCCCTGAGGGCCCTGGGAGGAAATGCTCTAACTACAGCCCAACTGGATCTAAATACTAGAAAGGTCTCCCACCAGGCCTGACCCGCCCCAGGGATGGAAAGGCTCCTAGGTTTGCTCCCCAGAGGGGTGAGGGTGGGGGTGTATCATTCGCCCCACAGAGGCGCTGATCCCCAAGAAGTCACTCTGGATGTCCCTGAGGACTCAAGGTGACAGGGCCTCCACTCCACCATTCCGTCCCCAGTAAGCCCGGTGGGCCACGGTCTGTGAGGACACTTACCTGCAAGTGCCTGCTGGACCCTGCTGGGCTTCGGCATCTGCACGGGCACAGTGGTAGGGGCGCTCCCTGGGCTGCTGGAGGAGGGACCGCTGGGGAAGGAGGCACTTGAGGAGAGAAGAGAGCAGACTCAGTGAGTGACCCACAGCAAAACTGGGAGGGTCCCTAGCTGGACTCTCTCAGCAGCAGTGGGTGGAGGCCCAAGTGCTGTTTTCTTGGGCAGTTTGCAAGCTCTGAAGACAAGGCTTTCAACCAGGTTTCACGTGGACATTAAAAAGACATTCTGCCACTTTCATACAGTGTTCCAATTAAAAACTGAAACACATATGCACATGTGTGTGCACACACGCACGCATGGAGAACATTCAGGCCAATTAGATGGCTCAACACTTTACTGTGCACTTCCTATCACACAGGCGACCACTCTGAGTTGAATTCCCAGAACCCAGAGTGGAAACAGAACTAATTCCAGCAAACTGGCCCCTGATCCACATGTGGCTATGGTACGTGTGCCTCCCTACACACTAAATAAGTAAATACATGCAAAAGAAATGTAAGGAAGCCTCTCTGCTGGGCATCATGGCACACACCTGTAATCCCAGCACTCAAGGGGCCAGCCTGGTCTATATCATGAGTTCAGAGGCACCCAGGGAGTCAGCCTACATCTCAAAAGACACAGAAACAGAAATGAAACAGGAAGGCTTTTGGGATACCTTCAGAGTTTAGCAGGAGAGCCACTAGGTGGCAAAGTCAGTATCATACACTATGCAACCAGAAAGTTCCAACACTATTTCTGTGAAATTCCTATCAAAATAAAGCTTATGGATTTGGTATTTTTAGTAAGTGAGTGCTTATCCTATATGTAAGGCAACTGTGGGTTCTATCCTTAGCTCTGGAACAAAAATTAAAAATTTTAAAGATTTTAGTTTTAACTATACACATGTGTTGTGCAAGTGTATGAATATGTATAGTTGTGTGTGTGTGTGTGCTCTCGAAGAGGCCTCCAGAGGAACCTGAAGTCACAGGCAGCTCTGTATCCTCATGGTTTCAGGCCAGTCCAGTCTAACCAATCAGTAACTTCAAGTTCAACGAGAGACCCCACCTCAAAAAAACCAAACCAAAAGAACAAAAACATAACCAACCAACCAAAAACAAAACAAAACAAAACAAAAAAGGAAGAAGCAAGAAGCAAGTGGATTTCTGTGAGTATGAGGCCAACCTGGTTTATGTGCCAAGTTCCAGGCCACCCAAAGTCACCAAGCTCAACAGCAGCCTGAGCGACACATGGAGATTTACAGTCTGCCTGAGCAGCTTCCTGAGACCTTGTTTCAAAGTAAAAAGAGAACTTGGGGTGCTGGTGAGATGGCTCAGTGGGGAAAAGCACCTGCTGATGAGTTCAAACCCTGAAACTGATGGGGTGGAAAGAGAGAACTCAGCCCTGAAGATTGTCCTCTGAGCTCCACGTGCACATGAATCAGCAGATACAAGTACATGTGTACATATGCATGCATACACACAAAATACATAAATGTAAAAAGGAGACTTGTGTTTGGAACTCAGTGGTAGAGCCTTGTGAGTGAGGCCCGGTTTAACCCTTACTACTACAGAATATATGGATGCATGAATACGTCACACAACAACACCTCATACAAGACATTCTGGTTTGGAGCAGAGCTCTACTTTGAGAACAGTTGGCTAAAGGCCTGAATTCCTACCAGCTCCTCCTCCTTCCCACTCCTGAGGGAGGTCTTCTGGGTCCTTCCATGTATCCCTGCCTGTTCTGATGATGAAATGTGAAGATTACAAAACCTTGCCATGTGGTCCCACACAGAGGCACTCCTCACTCGGGCACAGAGGACGGGCACTGTCTGGCTCCTGCAGAGCTAAGGGCACAACTGCCTCCAGGCTGTGCCCCAGACCTGCCATACATACTGCCACAGATCATAGAAGTGGAGGGTGGAACCTGCAGGCAGCTGGTGACCTCATCCAGCTGGGAAGCCACACACCCAACTGGAACTGGGCTGAGGGAAGGCCTCCTGCAGGGCCTGAAACAGCAGTGCTCCAGGGTTGGCCTGAGTGATAACACGGGCTTCCAGGCAGTGGTGGCGCACGCCTTTAATCCCAGCACTCAGGAGGCAGAGGCAGACAAATCTCTGAGTTTGAGGTCAGCCTGGTCTACAAAGTTCGACAACAGCCAGAGTTACACAGTAAAACCCTGTCTGGAAAAACAAAAAGGTGTTTTGAGTTTCTTGCAAATAAGATAGCCTCATGTGGTGGGGCTTCCTGTACCCTCTATTCTCAGCCCCAAAAGAAAGGCAAGACTGAGGGCATTATGGGTGCACTGATAAAGGCAGAGAGCTGAGGTATTGATGTTACCCAGCTTACAAGTTCCACCCCATCCAAGCCTGTTTCTACCTCCCCCCTTCTTTTTTCCTTTAGCTATGGTAACATGCAGCCAAGGTTGGCCTAGAACTCACTGAGTAACTGAAGACGACCCTCAACTTTGGCATCCAAACTCTAGAGTGTTAGAATTATAGGTGCACACTACCACACCCCTTCCACAGTGCTGAAGATTAAACCCAGGACTCTCCAGGCAATACTCTGACTTAGCTGTAGCCCCAGCCACATGCCCCTCTTTAGATAGTCTGTGGTGTGAGTCACTCAGATGCTCCATACGTAAGTGAGGGCACTCAGCCCAGCACTCTGGGCAGCGGATCGCTCAAGTTTGAGAAAAGACATACATAGTAAATTCCAAGCCAGGCAGGGTCACACAGCAAGACCTTGTGTAAAAAGACAGAAATAAGCAAACACAACAACCATGCCCTTCACCCACTTCACCTCTCCAGGGAGCGACGAACTTGAGCCCAGAAGCAACAGTGCCAGAAAACCCAGAGTTTGGCTCTACAGCTTCCCAACATGAGAAGGTCGTCTAGGGAGAAAGCCCATGGCCCCACAGAGATGAGGTCCCTGGCTACTTCCCCACTCCCAGGTCTTCCCTCACCAGAAAGACACATGAATGGGGAGAAAGCTGGACTCCATACCAAACACAGCTGAGAATAAGAGACAAGGCCTTTGAGTCTGCATGAGATATGCACATGTGTACAAGTGAGTTTTTGCATGCACGTGAGGGCATGTGGACATCATGTCCAGCATCATGCTCAACTGTTCTTCTACCTTATTCATGGACGGATCTCTCAAACCCAGAGTCCACCAATATGGCTGCTGCCAGCCACTTCACCTTGCTGAGGACGGAATTCCAGGAAAGCCACGCCCACCAGGTTTTCAGGGGCCCCAAACTTCCATCTTTCCACTGAATAACCAATCCTCCCCACATCCTGACTTTCAATGTTCTATACAGACAGAACCTGACAGTCCCAGGCAGAACGAGGCTCAACTCAAAGGAAATCCAATGTCGTCCCATCTCCCACCCTGGACTTGGGCTACATTCAGCTCCAATTTGGACAGACTAACAATGATAGTCTCTGAGGTGACACTACAAAATGGTGTGCCAGACCCACTCCAGAGCTTCCATTCCTATATATGGTGATGAATACAAAGCCAATCAAGACGCCTCCTGACTTCCAGGTGCAGGAAGAAGACAAAGCAGGCCCAAAGCCCTCACTGAACTGAAAGACTCACAGCAGCACTGGAGACAAAGGGAAAGGCAGGGCCAACAAGATGCTTAGCCAGGGAAGAGCCTTGCCCCAGGCCTGATGACCAGAGTCGGCTCCCTGGGAATGATAACGATAAGAGGAGAGAACTGATTTCCACAAGTTGCCCTCTGACCTCCACACCTGAGCCATGGCACAGTACATCCTGTGTGTGTGTGTGTGTGTGTCTGTGTGTCTGTGTGTATATGTGTTTGTGTGCATGTGTGTATGTGTGCATGTGTGTGTGCATGTGTGTGCATGTGTGTGTGTGCATGTATGTGTGTGCATGTGTGTATCGTACATGTGTGTATGTGTGTGCATGTGTTTATGTGTGTATATGTGCATGTGTGTGCATGTGTATGTGCATGTGTTTATGTGTTTATGTGTATGTGTGCATGTATGTATGTGCATGTGTGTGCATATGTGTGTATGCATGTGTGTATGAGTGTATGCATGTGTGTACATGTGTGTGCATGTGTACGTGCATGTGTATATGCATGTGTGTGCACATGTGTATGTGGATACACACATAGATGTAATGAAAAGTATTTAAACAGCTGAGCACAGTGGTGCACACCTTTCACCCCAGCTCTCAGGAGGCAGAGGCAGGTAGAACTCTGTAGATCTGAGGCCAGCCTGGTCTACACAGTGAGATCCTGTCTCAAAAAATAAGTTAATTAATTAAGTAAAATTTAATAAAAAGAAAAACCTTGGCCCTGCAACACATAACACTCTAATCTCAAACAGGACAGTGGCTGAGCCAAGGACCCATGGCAAGAACGGGAAGGAGGCAGAGCATCAGCTCTAATCACACGGGCAATGGCAGCCAGACTCCCAGGGCAGTGGCGATGAGGAACGGGGCCCTCAGAGCAGCAGTGGGAACACAGCAGATGCTGCTGGGTGTGGCGGCTCACGCCTGTAATCTCAGCAATCGGAGACTGCAGAGGATGGTGAGTTCAAGCCAACGTGAGTGACTACACTGCAAAGTCCTGTCTCAAAAAAAAAAAAGGGTGGGGTGGGGAGGGGAGCTGTGGGAGGGGCAGGGCAGGGGGGAGAAGGCTTAGTTGGTAAGGGACATGCTGCCAAGTCTGAGGATCCACATGTTGGAAGGGGAGAAGCAATTTCATGAGCAATCCTCTTATCTCTGCACTTACAGTGTGGTAAGCGAGTGCAGACTTGTACATACACACAAAATCAATATAAAAAACTATAGTCAGGGGCTGGGAGTCAGTTAAGAGCATTGGCTGCTCTTCCAGAGGACCTAGATTTAACTCCCAACACCCACAAGGTGACTCACAACCATCTGTAACTCCAGTCCCAGGGGATCCAACACCCTTTTTTGGCCTCCTCAGATGCTCGAGAGAGAATGCTTTAATTTCTCCCTCATGGTCACTAACACGCACACGCACACTCGTGCACACACACACTATTCACTTTTTTTTTTGTTTTTCGAGACAGGGTTTCTCTGTACAGCCCTGGCTGTCCTGGAACTCACTCGGTAGATCAGGCTGGCCTCGAACTCAGAAATCCGCCTGCCTCTGCCTCCCTATATGCATATTTTTTTTAAAAAATCTTTAAACACAAGGTGAGTAGGTCCTGAGGCAGGACCTGAGTTTTATGTGTATGTAAACGCATGGCCACAGCACACATACACTCTCATCTTGCATACGTTTCCAATCATGTGTTAAGCCACATTCATGGCTATGCTCAGCTAGCTGAAGCCTGTGGGACACAGGCTGGACACACCTGGCTAATGTTTCAAAGCTGCCAGCCCTTGTCACCACCCTTCATCAAAATGCTAGGCAAGTTGTCCTGCCCAGCTTTACAGAGACGGGCGTGAGCATGACACATTTTGGAAAGTTTTCCAGCACCCTCATTAGAGCACGTGTTTTGCTGCTTAAAGGGATAAAACTTCAGCTAAGAGGAAATGTCCTTATACCCAGAAGCTCAGTTACAAATGACACAGCTTTGTCTGGAGTCCATGTTCCCAGGGGGCATAGCCAATTTCACCTAGACTGAGCAGAGGGGAAAGGAAACCACAGGAATTTTACAAAACAAAAATCTAAAGGAAGGGTATGAGTTTCCACAAAAGCCTGGGGTATCTCAGTCAGGGGCTCAGCAGCAGGCAGAGGAGGTCCCAGGGTCCCTCAAGCTCCGCTCTGTTCAGACTGGCCCTGTCTGACCACTGATGCCTCCCTCCAGACAGCTCAGCAAACTCTCATCTGGTGCTGCTGACCCTCCCTTGGCTGTCAGATCTGCTGCCACAACCCCTGGGGAGAACAAGGTGGCAATGTTTGCGTTTCTCCCAGTGCCAGCTGGGGGAAGAGACCAGAGGGTTAGTTAAACCCCATGGCTCTACAACCCATCAGTGCATGAGGAAGGCCACGGAATAAATTAGATATGGGAGGCTGGCGACATGCCACCAAACCTGAGAGTGGGAGTGCAGTTTCCAGGACCTGGTGGTGAAGGGGAGAACTAACTCCAACAGGCTGTCCTCTGACCTACACACACACACACACACACACACCCACACACACACCAACCCACCCACACATACGAAACATAACATGTAATTTTTGAGTTTGAAAAGATATGGGTAAACGTTTGCTTATTCAGACTGGATAGGTGCGAGCAAGTGAAAGGCTGCCCCTCCCAGCCTGAGCCCTGAGGAAACACGGATGCACAGGACTTATGATAGGAGGCAGCCAGCTTGCTCTGAAGCTGTCCAACCAACACAGCAGGCTGGCCCAGTTCCCCCTGTCTCCTGCCACCCAGCAAGTAACAACAGGCAGCACCTATCCAGCACCAAGCTGGCCCAGTGACCTCCATCATCTGCCTGGCTTGCCAGAGAGTCCTAACACTGTCTGTAGGCCTGGACATGAGGCATAGAGGCCCCAAGCTACAGGAGCACAACCTGAGGAGAAAAGATCCAAGACCAAGTCTGACTCATCCTGAGTCCGCGGGTAGAGCTCTGTTGAGTCACCTCACCAGTGGCCTCACCAGAAGGGGAAAAGGAGATAAGGAAAAAGAGGTAGCAATTCAACAAAGCTGAAACTGCCTCAGTGTCCTAGGCTGACCACAGAATCCCATTCCCTCAAAGACTGACCTATACACTAACCTAAGTAGCAAGAGAGAAGGACATCCCCGGGAGCCCTGCAGGTTCATGTCCATGTAAAGCCTGCACAGGGCCTGGTGATGCCTGGCTGGACTCCCAATTCCCAGGGTGAGAGACCCACATGCCCCAGAGGAAGTACACATGGCCCCAACTCTGGAGAAGGATGCTGAGAGGATGGTAATCCAGGCCCTCAAATCTCCCTTGTCCAGCAGGCCCCTCCTCTCACTCTGCACAGTGAAGTCAGCTTCAGTGCCTATGTGTCCCACACAACTGTTTTTCTTTTCAGGGTACTGCCAGTCTCCTAGGCACCAGGCTAGGCAGAAAGTATACCACTGGGGCACGCCCCCAGCCCCTCACTGGGGGATTCTAGGCAGGAGCTCTACCACTGAGCCACGCCCCCAGCCCCTCACTGGGGGATTCTAGGCAGGGGCTCTACCACTGAGCCATGCCCCCAGCCCCTCACTGGGGGCTTCTAGGCAGGGACTCTACCACTGAGCCACGCCCCCAGCCCCTCACTGGGGGATTCTAGGCAGGGGCTCTACCACTGAGCCACGCCCCCAGCCCCTCACTGGGGGATTCTAGGCAAGTGCTCTACCACTGAGCCACGCCTCAAGCGTGGAAGATTCTAGATAAGTCATTCTAGTGCTAAGCCAACCCGCAGGTCCTCATCTGCAGACTCCAGGCAGACATCCCTGATGTCCATTGCTGCCCATGTCACAAGCGTAAAGAATAAAGCTTGTCAAGGTTATCAAAGCCCTGGGCAGCTCACATTTGTTCAGGTGAGTTTTAGAAAATACTACTAGCTTTTGTAAGATGCCTGTGTATGCCAGGTACTTTTTTTTTTTTAAAGGGTGGTGCTGAGGATGGTGGAGTGACTGCCTAATGCTCTAACGAAGGAGGAAAAAGGAGGATGGAAAATTCCAAACCAGCCTGAAATACAGAGACTTTTTCTAAAAACAAAACAAAATTAAAAAAAAAAAAAAAAAAAAAAAAAAAAAAAACAAAAAAAAAAACACATAAAACCCCAGAGCCGGTGAGATGGCTCAGTGGGTAAAGACTGAGCGTACTGTCAAGCCTGACGACCCGAGTTCAATCCCAGACCCAGACATGGTAGGAGAGAACTAACTCCCACCATGCACAGTGGCACCTGCAGGCTTGCTTGCCTGCCCTCCCCCTCCTCACACACACACACTCACACACACACACACACACATACATACACACACGTGATGAAGTAATTTCTTTAAAATACCATCTAAAAGCCAGGCATGGTGGCACATGCCGCCTTTAATCCCAGCACTCAGGAGGCAAAAGTAGGAGGATCTCTGTGAGTTTGAGGACAGCTTGGTCTACAAAGAGAGTTCCAGGACAGCCAGGGCAATGCAGAGAAACCCTGTCTCGAAAAAACAAAAACAAAAAACCATCAAACCAAACTAGAACAGCAAAATTCTTCTGAGTTCGAGGCCAGTCTGGTCTACAGAGTGAGTTTCAGGACAGCCAGGACTATACAGAGAAACCCTGTCTCGAAAAAAACCAAAAAAAAAAAAAAAAAAGAACAGCAAAATCCCACCTTGCTTTGCATGAGGACATAACCTATAACCAACACCTGGAAGACTGAACCAAGAAGACTGAAGTCCAGACCAGACTCACCGCCTGGTTTGGATGGGCTCTGACACCATCCCCTCTCGAGCACTGTATCCCAGGCCGTCCTTCCCTACTCACACTGGGCCCCGTGGCTCAGGGTTAGAGCTGCTGTCCCCACTCCGTATCTGCACAGCCGGGCACATGGCAAAAGTCACTGAGTACTGTTATTCAAAGTATCATCAGGGTGCAGGGCACCCTCAGGCAGTATGTAAGCCCTGGCAAAGGTCTGCTACACCCCAGGACCCTGAGAGAGGACTGCTGAGTCGTGGGTAATCATGGGTAATAGCCTATAATCCCAACACTGAGGCTGAGGCAGGAAGCTTGCTGAAGGTTCAAGGGCGACATACTGAGTTCTGGGTCAGTCTGGGCTACAGAATGTGTCTGTTTTAAAAAAACAAAACCAGAGCTGGGGCTGTGCTTAGTTGGTAAAGTGCTGGCTTGGCTAGCATTCCCACAGCCCTGGGTTTGGTCCTCCAGCACTTGAGAGGTAAAGACAAGGGTCGAGAAGTTCCAGATCGTCCTCAGCTATACAGGGGATTTTGAGGCCACCTTGAGCTACATGAGACCCTATCATCAAAAATACATAAAATTAGAAAGATTAAAAGACTGCTGACCCCAGGACTACCGGGACTCAGCAATCCAAAGTGTCATGGCATGGTAGCTCCATGGGATGTCAACGTAGGAAACCGAGAAGGCTCAGCACACAGGTGGGACTCGCAAAAGACAACGCACAAGGGGCACGCAGGCGTGGAGGTGCACAGCTGAGGGAGACACTTTCCACACGGGTTAAAAACAAAGTTCCCACTGGTACCTGGCTCCACTGGAGGTGGATGGTCCTGAGGACAGGAGCTGTGGCCCCAGGTGGGAGAGGCTGGAGTGGAACACGGACTGGCTGCCTGGAACAGGAGGTGCTGCACCCCAGGGGTTGGTGGTGTTCAACCTTGGTGCAGATCTGGCCCCAGACAGTGAAGGTTTATTGTATGGGGCAAAGGCCTGGTGAGCCCCAGTGACAGTGGCAGTCCGGTGGGGTGCTTGGGGGGCAGGATATGCAGGCAGGTTGGTCATGGAGTGGCGGTAGCGACCTGACACAGGGCCAGTTCCACTACCATGGAGGCACTGTTGGCAAAAGCAGATGAGTCCCACTTGGCGTGGGACAGCGATGTCTGAAGTCACGGGGTAAACTGGCCCCACTTGGCGTCGCACACTCCGGCAGAAGCTGGAAGTCTTGTTGGTTTGTGTTAGGGTGGCATAGTTGACAGTGTAGTTATACCCCAGTGGGGCCAAGTCCACGACCTGGATACCCCTGGCCACTTGCTGCTCCAGATAGTCACAGATTCTAGCTTCATAGGCTATCCAGGATCCGTCATCACCCAGCCACTCCCAGACGATTCCCTGGCCTGGGGCAGAATTCTGTGAGAACAGGTGTCTGCGCACAGACCTCATGGTGCCTGTAGGAAAGAACCAGGACCCATAAGTGAGAGCCCTCCTGCCGCTCCACACGCTGACTCTGCAAGTGTACACGGCCACACCCATTTGTCTGTGGGTATGTGTGTGTGCCCATGTGACACCACAGCATGTCCATGGTGTCAATAAATCTGTGTGCTTCTGTGTTTTGTATGGATGACTGTATTTCTATGTGGTTTTGTCTGTATATGCCTAAGTATCTACGCCTGAACGTATGTCTGCCCATGCCATGTCTGTGTACCTGTGTTTGTGTATGTACATCTGTTTATATGTGTCTATATCTCTGTGTGTGTGTGTGTGTGCATATGTCTATGTTGTATGTGTGTATCCATCTGTGGTATGTGTTTGTCTGTGGTGTGTTCACGTTATGTTTACGTCATGTTTGAGTACATATATTTGTGTCTGTGTATGTGTCTGTACATGCCTGTATTTGTACCTACGTGTATGCACATGTCTGTGGTATATGTGTGGCATCTCTGGGGAGTATGTGTGTCTATGCGTGCATGTCTGTCTGCTTATATATGTCTGTGTATGTATGTGTCTGTGTCGCTGAAGATGGACTCGAGGGACCTCACATATTCTAGGTATGGGTTCTACCACTGAGCTATATCCCCAGCCTCAGCTCTTTTCCCCCAGTAACTCAGCATCATCACTGTTGGTAGACAGTCAAATGGCTATTTGACTCAGGACTAGCAGATCCTATCTTATCCAGATTTCACTGTAGGATACAGAGCCTCACAAGGCAAAGGGCACCAAAGGACCAAGTCACAAAGCAAGGGCTCACCCTCTATGAGGCAGAAGGGTCTTACCAGTGTCCTGGCGGAACTGAGTCCAGCTGGGGAGGTCGATGATGTAAGGAGCCAGTGAGGGGTCAGCTTGGCCTAAGGGGATGCTGTGGGCCAGGCTCCCCAGTCCAAAATGCTGGCCTCTCTGCCGGACAAACTGCTGCTCAATGAAGGAGCAGACAGTGGCACTGTAGGGGTGCCAAATGCCAAGCCCATCCTGCCATTCCCACACAGCCACCACCGCATGGCTAGGGTACACCTGCGGCAGAGACGAGCTTGGGGCCATGGCCATCTTCTGCTTTCTCTGAAGACTTCACACCACTCTGGCTTGCAGGTTCAGGTTCATTGCCCAGCACCTTGGGGGGAACCTAGAAAAAGACACAGCATTCACTCACACACATTGGGGACCTTGTCAGGCAGCTAAAGAAAACCAACTTTTTTTCCTTTTGAGACAGGTTTCTCTATGTAGTCTTAGCTGTCCTGGAACTCATTCTGTAGAACAGGCTGGTTTCCAACTCAGATATCCACCCGCCTCTGCCTCCCAAATGCTAAGAGTGCGCCACCACTGCCTGGCTGCCTGAAAACCAGCTTTTCTCTACTACCTTTGGGGTACCTTGGATCAACTCTTGATCCCCATCTCTTGCTCTAAAAGACAGGATAATTAAAAGTCATTCTTGGAGAAGGTGACCCCGCCCCTCACCAACTACAGCATTTGGGAGAGCAGCCCCACACCTCACCTGGGCCCAGGGTGGTACAGTAGAGCTGGTCCTGGTGACATGGGTGAGGGTGAGCTGCCCCAAGAGCATGAGAGTGGGAGAGCTGGTCTTGCCCCGTGCTGGCTTTGCCATTGGATGATCTAGCCAGGGCAGTGCTGAAGAGTTCACCCTGGTGGTGTGGGTGTGGGAGAGCCGGCAGGCTGACCAACTCAGCTACCACCAGATCCAGAGCTTTGAGCTGGCCCACCCCAACATCTACCCCATCTATGAACTCCTGGAGCATGTAAAGGGGGTGCTCCTGCAGATCCAAAGCTGCAGGATATCTGTGAGGAGTCCCAGTGAAGTGGTACTATAGCAGAAGCCAGAAGACACACTACAGCTTCCAGGATGAGATATTTTCTGTTTATTTTTTACTTTTATTTTATGTTGGTGGGGGAGTTTGCAAGGATAGAGGGTAGATACGAAAGAACATGAAGATGTGTGGGATTGGGCTGCATGATATGAAATTCACAAAGAATCAATGAAAAAAATTTAAAAGTCATTCCTGTTCCTTACCCCCCACTTCAGCAAACATTCCAGATAGGAGCACAGTGAAAGTGGGGTGCTGATCTGCCCAGCCACTGCCTTCTGATTCTATGACTTTCTGCTCAGTGTTTTCCATCCGTCCTTCCTTCAAATGTGGGGTGCGTGCAGAGAAGACATACCACACACCCCTGCTCCTCTCTGCTGAGCCACGCCCCGGCACTCAGTGTATTTTTAAATCACCCCAAATCTTTGTAGACAAGGCCACAATGACCTTGTACATTTGTATAAGAGCCCTACAGTTCCCAACGCAGGCTGTATTTGTCAGACAGAGTAAGTCCTGCTATAGTATCCTCACAGATGTTCTGGAGCTCAGAACGAGGGCTCCAGGACACCCTGGAGGCAGTAGCTCAGGTAGGACTTACACACAGGTTCCTAGGCTGGGGAGATGGGCTGTTTGCTCTAGGAACTCAGGATCCACGATTAGACTCACAGAACCCACAGAAAAGCTGGGCATGCTTGCTGCCTGTATCTGTAATCCCAGGGCTCTAAAACAAAGAGGTGAATCTCAAAAGCTTGCTGGCCACCCAGCCTAGCCAAAATCGCAAGCTTCAGGTTCAGTAAGAGTCTCTGTCTCAGAGAAGTAAGATAGAAAGTGATAAAAGACATGAGTCTTCCTCTGACCTCTGCATGCACAAACAGGCACGCATGCACTCGAGCAACACACACACCTGTGCACATACATACCACACGAAAACAACAACAGCTAAGGGACCATCACTGATCACGAGAAAGCCTAGATAAAAAAACTAAAGTGCTGTGCATACCTTTAATCCAGCACTCAGGAGGCAGACACAGGCAGATCTCTGTGAGTTCAAGGCCAGCCTGGTCTATATCACAGCTAAGATTGAGAAACCCTGTCTTGGGAAGCGAAAAAACAACAAACAAATAAACCAAACCCTAAAGTGTTCCTCGGCTGTCTCCACAGCCCTCCCTGAGCCTTGCTCAGCAGCTGTCTCCTTTTCCACTCCATCTTCTGAGAACTTACATCCTTCCTGCTCGACTTGTGTGACTCAGGGGGCGTGACACCGCCTGCTTAGAGTCCCCCAGTATCACATGACCCCATGACCCCGCACACACTCCTTATGCCAAGCAGAACTCTACTTAGCAGGAACACACACAGACACAATTCTGTCCCAAGTCTTCCTACCCCACCACATGACAACAGCCCAATACTCTATTCACAGCTGTAGGCCAAGCACCCAGCAGGCAATCCACACATGCTAGCCTAGAACACGGCTGGAGACACTGACATCATAACATGCCCACAGCTGTCCCATAAGAGGTCTGCCAGGGCACAGTCCTACACCAGCTCTTTGACCCTGAGCTGACAAGTGTCCCCTTCAGTCTCCTGATTCCTACAACCAGCTCCCAAAGACCCCATCAAATTCCTTCCCTGTTGCCCAGGTGGGGAACGGAGACTTGTTCAATCATATGGCGGCATACTCTGGCGCCTCCGAGACACCGCTAGCCTTCAAAGCTGAGAGAGGGTCAAGGCCATGGTCTTAGAAGGGACAAAACCAAGAAGCGCAGGCTCCAGGTCTCTCTCTCAGTGTCTTGCCTCATTTCATTGAGAAAAATGATGCTGACGGTTATGTGAAGTTACCTTCATGAGAACTAAGCAGACAGTATAAAACACCCACCCAGCTGGGTGTGGCAACACATGCCTATAAACGCCAGCAGTACAGAGATGGAGGCACAGAGTTTGAGTTTGAGGCTGTTCTGCACCATATAGGAACTGTCTCAGAAAAATAAACACAAAGTGTTAAGGACAGTTGAGATGGCTCAGTACGAGAAGTGTTTGCAACACAAGCAGGAGGACCTGAGTTCAGACCCCCAAAGCCTATGCAAAACAAAGTAGTGTGTCTATAAGCCCAGACCTGGAGGGATGCACACAGGCACATTCAGTTCTGCTAGCCAGCTAGCCTGGCTGAAATGAAACAGGTGAGCACCAGCGTCAGGGAGAGACAGTGACTCAAAATGTAAGTTGGGGAAAAGGACTGCGGAAGACATATTGATTGACATCAAGTTCTGGTGTCCATATGCATCCTCCCAGGAGAGTGACACACACAGACACACACACATACACACACGCTTACACACACAGACTGACACAGACACACACATAGACAGACAGACACAGACACAGACACACACAAACACACACAATTTAAAAAGTTGTGTGTAGTGGAACACACCTGTAATCCCAGGACCTGAAAGGCAGAGACAGAAAGATCAGAAGTTCAAAGCCAGCTTGAGTTACATGAGTGGATCCCTCCAAAAACCAAACAACAACAAATTAGCCTACAGAGTATCCACCCAACACAGGCCAAGGCACATTTCAACCGCAAAAGGCTTTGGTCTTCCTGCTGCCTACTCACCAAACATCCTTCAGGTAGCAGAGGGAAGGGAGGCCACAGTATGCAAACACAGGTAGTGAATCTGGCTTGTGAGGACACTGAGCAACAGCTCTAGGCGCCAGGCTGGGCACCAAGCTCTCCAGGACTCCAACAAAGGCCCAGACACTGCCTGAGGATGAGACTTGGGGTACCCTGGGCAGGGCTGGCTCACCTCAGAATCTACAATTTAAAGTGCCTATAAGCTAGGCATAAACCAGAGGTTGACATCAGAACCTGTGACTCCCAAGATGTCACTCATGGCTTAGGCAGCCAGGGTCTGCAGCTTACAGGTATGTGCCAACATGTCTGTCCATCCTCAGATAAACCAACTTCCAGAGCTCTGGCTCACAACAGCCAGGGGTGTGGCAGAGGTACTAGGTTCCAGCCCTCTGTAAAGGTGAGACCACAGCAGACCCTGGGTCCTCCACCACCACCTCCACAGTTGGGCAGTGCCCTCTCATAACAATCTCTCCATCTCTGGGACCTCATGTCCAGCCACAGCTGACTCTAGCAAGTTCTAGAACATTTCGAGTCTTTCCCAGCCATCAGCCATTGATTCTACTGGTGCCTCACTAAGCAAGCATGCCAATCCTTCCAGATGCCACTAAGTCTTCCTCCTGAGCCTTCATCATCACAAGGGAGGTGACTCCACTCCCCTGTCCCCTTTAGCACAGAAGCCAGAATCATCTCAGCAAGCCTGTATGTCTTCAACTTAATCTCCTCAAGGGGACAGCTGCTACTGTCTGCTCATATGGGGCTAGGTAACTTCAAATGTCCCTTAACACAGGGCATAAAACCCCAGGACAAATGAGGGGAGACAGGGCTAGTGAGATGGTTGAACAGTTGGACACCTGCCACTAAGCCTGGCTACTTGAGTTAGATCCCCAGGACTCATACAACAGAAGAGAACTGACTCCTGCAAACAGTCCTCTAACCTCTACCCACAAGCTATAACACACACATGCATATGCACATACAAAGACTATAATAATATAGGGGCAGACCCACAGATGCCAGGAGCCTGGGCTTTTTGAGTTGGTGCCTAGTCAGGCCCACCAGCTTGCCGCTGGAACCCTACAGCCGTGCATGACAGCCCCATGTCCATGCCTACTCTCTCATCACAGCCCCAGCCAGCACCAAGCCACACTTCAAAAACCTAATTTGTTTCAGCACCTAATGGTGGGGCTATTTAGGGTATTCTTAATTATAGAAATTACACTAATTGGATGTGGGAAAAAGCCTCAATCTGGAGGCAATATAAACACACTAGACAATATGGGAAGTACTTCTAATACTGGGGATGGCACCCCAGACTGCCACTGAACTATATACCACCAGCCCTAATAAGGAGTTTTTATGAGACGGGCTCTAGCTTCAAATTGACCTAGAAGTCCAGGCAATTCTCTTCCTTTAGCCTCTATGTGATCTGTTAGGAGCATGAGCCACTACACCCAGCTCTTTAAAAACTTTTATTATTTATGCTTTTAATTATGTGCATTGGTGAGTCCAGGTTCCTGCAGAGCCTTCTGATGCCCCTGGAGCTGGAATTACAGGCAACTGTGGGCTGGGCTGGGCCAGGAACTGGATACTCTGGAAAAGCAGCAGGCACTTGTAACATCTGAGCCACCTCCAGCCCCTCATTTATAAGACAGTCTCACTTGTACTCCAGGT